TGTGGTGCTTGGGTTCAACAGCTGAGTCAAGCTAATGACTTGTTGACGAAGTTCCTCAAATGCTCAAGTGGTGACAAATGTCGGTTGGGGTATTGGTATTTTTGATGGTTCTTCTTGAGGAGTTGGTGGATCTTTAGCAAGTAAAGACATACCAAATTAGTGGACCTGGGTCCTGTATTTATAGTGATAGGTAGTGTACTCCTAGTAGGATTGAATTAGTTGGACGTTCTTATCCAATATAGTCCTACTTGAGAGGAGTATTTTATTTATAATATAATTGCATGACCAATGATTCTACATAACGTTCTAGTGAACGTAGGAGTCTTGTTGAAGTGTTTGTATCAGATTATAATCCATTGTTAATGTTAAAATTATTCTTCTTAATATAATCACTTCATCTATGCACCTTTCCGTCGATTACATTTATCTATTTTCATTTTAGTTATTAGCATAAAAAAATCAAATTCATGAACTCCACTTCTATCTGTAAACCGTAGGTGCGTTGAAAAAAATTTCAGAACTGTCAATTCAGCTCGTGTATGATTGTGAAACAAGTAAACTTTAACTGACCCCATACTGTCTCCACCAGTGCCAGCCAACCCGCGTGTCAAATTTTGGCCAGAATGGCTGACAGGCAGATCGGCAACTAGCTTGCCCCGATTGCAGCACTTGTGAGACCAATGTTGTCATCCATAATTATTAACTACAGTTGTACAAATAGATTAATTCTTGCTCTAATTAAGCCTCTACATCCCCCGGTTCAACCATGTGGTTTAGAAAATATTGATGTAATTAGAAAGACTACAGAGGCATTCAGGCAACTTAAATGACTAAAACTACAATCCTCTTCAAAATATAAGAAGTTTAAGCAATGACAGTTTCTAGGTTGGTGGCCGGGGGGGGGGGGGGGTTGGGACTACTCTTTACCCTTCACGCCCTATGACAAGCAATTACATCGCAGAAAACGAAATATTACAACCATAGATGACTCTTAAGGTATGCTAAAAGCCTAAAACTACTTTCTGAATCAACGCACATGGGCATGAAAGGGGATGGGGATGGGGATGGGATAGTACAAGAAAATGCAAAGAAGAATTAGATGAGTAAACAAAACTTTCTAGATAATTTCAATTAAGAGAGGAAGAACTCAAGTATGGCATTTGCAACTGTTAGTTCTACTTCTATTGGACAGCATAAGAATACGTACCCTTACCCATGCATCTAGAAACCTCGTTAAGCATTCCAACAGTCCCACCAGCCAACATGCAATAAAATTCAAGAATAGACAGGAGCCCTTTATCTTGGAATGTTACCGAGCTGTTAATAGGTAGTATCTTGCCATACGGCTAAGTAGGCCCACTGAACCAGGGTCCAACTGCACCATTTACATGCCCATTGCTGTGGACCCCAACTCCATTAGGGATTACTGGAGGCGGAGCAGCAGGGTACAGCCCATGCGTGCTCGGAAGGTTGTGGGGACTTACAAGAGGACTGCCAGCTGGACTTCCTTTATGGTGTTGGATGGCATGAATCTGTCGAAGTCCTTCTTCATGAATGCGTGACAATGTCTCCAACTCCTTCATTGATAAAGTTTCCAACCCAGCACCATACAGAGGGGCATGTCGTGACATTTCTTCCTGAAGCTGAGCCTCGACATGATGGATGTATTGCTGCCAAAAGAGAGATGTCAGAAGCAGTAGATGAGGAACTGCCATACAAATGTCAATTTTACCCTTTCAAGAAAACAAGCCAAAATCAAATAACATGAGTGGTTAATAATCATAAAGCTCTAGAAAATGTTTGGAACTTATAACGACAATTAACTTTTTGACAACAATAGAGGGATGGTGTGTCCTTGGTATCACTACAATTTAACTGCTTTCCGAGTTAATGCAAGTGTCATTGTGAAGATGCCAATTTGAAGTACAGCAATTTCATGCCCTAGATCAATTATTATCATCTAATCTATGGAGAAATTAAGTAGCAAGATTGACATAGATCCATCCAGAAAACCACTTCATCAGAAGGGCCTCAAAACCAGATGATATTGAAATTTAGTTTATAGAATTAATCCAGAGTTGAGAAAGGTTATTCATTTCCCCTCAATTATTTCCTCGGATAAATGAGTGCAAGATAGAAGTGAAATTAATAAGAATGCAACACTTTTACTGAAAGAAGATCAAGGATCTACTAATCGAAATACAAATTAAGAAAAGGTGTTTAAAGCAAAAACCTCGCAGGCTTGCAATTTGGATTCCATCGCATCAATATATGCCTCACATCGAGCAACTTGTTCCTCCTTCTCGCGCTTCTCTCCTTCAGTCTGCCCAACTGTTTGTTTCAGCCGACGTACTTCATCCTCGAGTGATTGCCGAATCTCTTCTCGAGTGACATTTTCTGTGGCATATCGTTTCAATTCATCATCAAATATTTTCCGGGCTGCTTCAGAACTCTTTAACCTTTCAGCAAAAGCATTTTTCTCCTTCATTACTCTCTGAGACATTCAAAGTTTGTTGTTAGGCAAAGCATGAAAACACATATTCATCACTGCTCAAGTCCTAAGCCTTTGTAAGAATGCGATAAAAGGGACCATTGAAAAAGAAAGTTGGTGTCTCTATTATCATTTATGAATGTCAGGAAAGCATGTGAGACCAACATCATTTAACACTTCAGAAAAATTTTCTCAATTTACAAAATTCGGTTTTCAAGAAATGCCCATCAATGTTTAAACATCACTTCTCATTCAAAAAAACCATGTGAAAGAAATTACTTTCATTTTCCACTGCCACATGTTAGCTCCCTAAAAGCAGGAGTTGTCGAATAAGAACCATCTTGTAAAATATATCTTCAAGAAAATATTAAATAAAAAATGATGGCCACAAAGAAGACAGCAACAAGAAGATAAAAATATCAAACCTTCAATTCATCACGCTTTCTAGACTTCAATTGGGATAGCTGTGTCTCTGCATCATGTAAACGATCTTGAAAAAATTTCTTCTCAGCGATAAGCTTTGTGATTTCGTCATCTCGTTCTGAACGAACCCACTCAAGTTGAGCCTCCAGTTCTTGTATTTGTTCTGTAAGCTCCTTTCTTTCTCGAGCAAAACGATCCACCTCAGTCCTCATCTCAGACTGCCATACCATTCAAGTATCAGCAGCAGTGATGTTTTTCTTTCTTTTCCACACACACACACACACATGCTTGAAACATTGGTGGAGAAAGAGATATCAAGTACCTTTAGGCGGCTAGTTGTAGCCTCTGATTCGCTCAGCCTCTGAGACAAAATAGCTTTTTCTTTAGACATACTAGCGCTTTCAGCTTTTTTTTCATCACGAACGTGAAGAATCTCATCTTCATTGGCACATAACTGATGCCAAAGTGCTGCCCGATCAACATTTGCAAGTTCAGCAACCTCTCGCATCATGCTCAAGACTGGTCTAACTATTTCTTGTTCCTCACACACCAAGATCACCAAAATCTCCAAATCTAAGTCTATTTCACGAGTAGTATCTGTAGTACTTGTAGCACGATTGACAAGTCTCTTTAGCATTCTAAATCTGTAAGAGTCATCAGCATACCATTTGAACAACATAGGGTACAGCATCTTTACAAATCCTTTAACACACAGGTCCCTAGAGAGTGCTAATGTCTCCGCAAGGCCAAGAACCGCAGTGAAATCATCTCGTTGGGCCGTTAGTTGTTCAAGGGCTTCTCCCTCTACAACTAGATCTGGTTGCTGAGAACTTTCAGCAATATATTGCGTATTCAAATTCAAATACCGAGTAAGGCGTCTTTCCAAGACCATGGCTACAGACTGAGGAACAAAAGCACCACGTGCTACAGCTCTCTCAAAAGTTTGGGAGGCTTCAACAGCAAGGCAAGGGATAGATAACATCTCAATTAGGATATAAAT